GTACTATTTGTATTTATTGCAGAAGCCTTAATCAGCAAGCAGATATCGAGATCGTCTTCCTAGAGCTCAGTGGGGCATTATACACCGACGTCAAAAATGATTCCGGTCTAGTTTAATAAGGGGTTGTCGACTGTATAGTGGGCGTAGAAATCTCATATTTGGAGTTTTAAGATTAGAACGCAACCTTCATATCTTCATGCGCATAATGGCTCCATGGTAAGTTTAAGAGTCTTGTGCGCGATACATAAAACCTGGGAAAAGCCTATAAACCAAACGATAAATATCAGGAGAAAACAACAAACATCGCTGGACGCAAGATAGGACGGAGACAAGAAGATAAAAACGAAGAAGTAGTTAGAAAAATCCCATGAATTTGACGAGGTAGAAACCAAAGGGGCACAAACTGAGGCAGCATAACAAACTTAGGCACTTGCTTAAGTTTGGCGATACTGGAGTCTAGATTCTACAAGAAAGGGAACCAACGATTACCGAACATTCTACTAATCATAGTGACCGATTGCAAGGGCTTCCAAAAAACGCATTCGGCACATCATAGAAATGCAACTTGAAGTAAAATATTGAAATTGAAGAATCCAGTGGAGTCGATTTCGCCAATATGCAGTGTGTGGCACAAACGATGTTTTCCAAGGATGCATGCAAACTGACGCCACGAGGCCAACGGCAAGTTCCCAAAGTTTTAGTGGAATGAATAGGGTCTTATGCCAAACCTTTCTCGCTGAAGAATCTAAATTGATGTCTTGGAGTAAGCAATCAAACCAAGTGCTTAAACAAAATTTACTAAAAAATCAACCCCACTTTTGATCTGTTTACCTCCTTTATCAGTCGAGAAAGATGCACTCGCTAGCTTTTTTCAGAGGAATTCCGCTTAGTAGTTGTTTGGGGAGTACCTGAGTCTCTGATGGTGAAACTGTGAACGAAATGGCCAAACTGCAATTCTAGATTTTCCATAATGTACAGCGTACCTGTATCGCTGATGATACGTCGAGTTGGGTGAACGTGACTAGTGTTTTGCCTCGAGGCTCAGTTCTTGAACCCTTTCTTCTCATCGTCTATGATAATGACTATCTTCAAGAACTCGACTGCGGCAGAATAATGGGAGAGTGTACGGAACCTTTATTCAGCCTCATCTGGAATATGGCATACAAACGTGGCGACCATGGCTAGCAAAGGACCAAGTATGCCTCGACAAAGTACAGCGTCCTTCTACAAAGCTGGTAAAGGGTTTAAAAAACCAACCTTACATGGAAATACTGAACTGCCATAATTTATTTCCTCTGTTATACAGGCAGCAAAGAGGTGATCTTATTCTGATTTGCAAGATATTACGTGGCCTTGAGTATGGACTGAGCCTTGATGACATGTTTCAGGGACACCTCTTGCCCACTCTTCGTGGTCACTCGCTGAAGCTACGCTAGAAAATGTCCAGGCTGCACCTTCGCTCTGATTTTTTTCACACAGGGAGTAGTATAGAAACTGAATGATCTCCCTCAATCTGTCGCGGGGCGGCATCCCTGCAGCTCCTCAATAAATGCTTGGATGATTATTTGTGTCCCCCGTTTTCCCCGGACAGTCTGAACCTGAACTAAATACCTCTGAACCACGTAACTTTTGTCTTGTAGAACAATCCTACTTAAATCATACTAGTAGACGATAATTGTCATTATTCGTTTACGGTTGCATATAACGTGCTGACATGTAATCCATAGGGTTTTCAAAGGCCTTGCCTTTCACTCTTACCAGATAACCTGACTGACAACTAGGGACCTGGTGGGATTGTCTAAATCCAAATGCTCTTCCACCTGTAGGCTTCGATCACGAAATACGCAGAGGCCGGGCAATCGGGATCGTTGGAACTTCTGGAAAGTATGCG